CGGCCTAGGGGGACCTCTCAGTCCGGTCCCCATCCCTGATTCCCCCCAGGACTGCACGCACCAGCTGGGACGTGTGCTGCTCAGCCGCTTCCAGCTGGATCTTGATCTCCGGACATGCAGGGTCCCCCGACTTGCCGGCGTCTGGATGGGGTGACCGCGAGGGGCCTGGAGAGGGGGGCAGGAGGGAGCCACCTCACTGGCCGCGGGGAGGCACCAGGGAGACGGGTATGGATGGGTGGTCGGCACTGGTTGGTGTTCCCCAACCCCGCCAAGTCCCTCCCCCAGGGAACCCCACCCTCACTCCCTTCTTTTGTCCCCCATCATGCTCCAAGACTCTTCCAGCAGCCAGCAGCCCTCCAAGCCACCCAATTACCTTAGGCTCAATGATGACCCCTCCGTGACACGCCCACCACCCCGGGGATGAGAAGTGGTCTCCACCCTCAGTGCCCAGCCCTGACCCCTCCGGCCATAAGAATGGCCCTACTTGGCGGGGAAGCCGCTCCAGCCTGGTACCTGGGGAGCTGCCCCCACTCGTGGTGCTGACGCTGTCCTCCAGCCACGTGCTATAGATGAAGGAGTCCCGCTTGTGCGGAGTCCCTGAGGACGACATGCTCTCCTGGGGACGCAGGGAGGAGAGTAAGAGGGGGGTTAGCCCTGGGCCCTGGCACTGGCTTGGCTCCCCTCCCCTCTAGGCCACCTTTGCCTCCCTGCAAAGAGGACAGAGCCCACCATCTGCTCCAGGGAGGCCACAGGAGGACAGAGTGGGAACAGGCGCACACCGCACACGCCCATTCATTCATTCAACAATCATTCGCTGACGTTCTCGTGGGCCAAGCCCCCGAGAGGCATGGGGCCGGGTCCCCGCCCTCGGAGACTGAAGTCTAAGAGGGGAGACAGCTGGGAAGAGACCATGACCATCATCCCAGACCTGGCCCATCAGGCAGGGCCGGTCTGCACCGCTCCTTGCTGTACCTGAAGCACCTGGAACAGGACCCGGCAAGGAACAGGGGCCCAGTGCAGGTGTGTTGAATGAAGAGTGACAAATGGGGGCTAAGGGCCAAGCCCAGGGTCTGTGAGGCACAAAGAGGGACCAGAACATCAGGGAAGGCTTCCAACAGGAGGCGATGTGAGGCTGAGCTGAGAAGGGTGAGCAGGACTCAGCCAGACGAGGAGGAAGGAGGAGGCAGTGGTGTGCTCCAGAGAAAATGGCTCATGCAAAGGCCCAGGGGTGGAGTAAGCCTCGCATGTTTGGGGGACTGCTGAGTGCAGAACGGCTAGCGTGGTAAGAGATGAGGCTGAGGAGGGGACGGGGGTCTTCAAAGGTCTCAGAGATTGGGCTCTGGGTGCAGGAGTGGGCCCCCTCCCCCCACGCTGGGGAGCACGGAAGGTCAGAGTAGGGGAGGGTTAGTCTGCATTATTCCTTCTGGCTGGGCCCCCTGATCGCATCTCAGCTATGCCCAGGCTCATGCTTCTACCGAAGAGCCCCCACTGCAGGCCGCTGTGGAGCACCCCACTCCCTGGGCCTCTCACCAGGCCTGTGTCGTCCCCGTCCACACCCTCCGTCTCCTCCACTACGCTGGCGAAGCTGCTGGCACTGGACGAGGAGCAGGAGAAGTCCTTCAGCGCTTCTGCTCTCTGGGCTGCTGTCTCCGCTCTGCCACAGACCGCACCCCATCAGCCAGCACCCACTCGGGGCCCCTCCTGGGCCAAGGCCCCGGTCCTCTGCCCTCCGGGCCCAGGGAGGCCTGCCTACAGCCCGCCCAGCGCCTTTGTGGTTGCTTTATAGCTCCCCAGGCCTCTGAGCCTCCTCCTGCCGCTGTCCTTCTTAATATGCAGATCTGGTCGGTCCCTCCCCTGCTCAAAACCCGCTCAGGGCTCCCACTGCCCCAGATGAAGTCTCATTTCCTTGACTGGGTGCCTGATAATAGCTGTTGATAATATTATCATGTAGTGCACATTTGCTCTGTGCCAGGCACTGTTCCACGTGTTTTTACCCGAATTGTCCCACTGCTATCGTTATTGGACCCATCTTACAGATGAGGAGACACCAAGGCACAGAGAGGGTAGGCACACAGTCCAAAGTCACCCCGCCACAGGTGGGAGAACAGACGGGACCCAGCTTCCAACTCCACAGTCTGCCCTCAGCCCTCCCACAATTTTGTTCCATGCTCAGGCCTTTGTGTTTCCTGATGGGAGCCTCACTCTTCCCCTCAAATCCCCCAAAGCTAATTAATCTTTCAAAAATCAGCAAGGGCCTCCTCCTCAGGGAGGCCCTCCCTGATTCCTCCTCGCATGGTAGGGTGGCCCTCCCCACTCTGGGTCCGGCACACCTTGTCTCTCACCATCCCTGCCACCCCTTCCTGCTTCTCTGTTCACCTGCCTGACTTTTCATCTGGGCTGAGTCAGAGTCAGCAAAGAAGAGCTCGGCCAACAAGAGCTGAATGGAGGAGCAGCCTGCTTGCCGGCCTCCCTGCTTCCATTCCTGCCCTTGCCCCACCCCTTCACGTGGGCCTGGCCCCTCAGTCACTCGGCTCAATGCACTGCCCTTCTTCCATCCTTCAAGCACACCTCAGGGCCTTTGCACTGGCTGTGCTTCTCACCTGGAACCCTCTTCCCTCACCCTTTGTCAATGTCTTGCTTGAGCACCCATCTGATCCCCCCCCCCCAAGTCATTCTTCATCGCATCCCCTGCTTTGTTTCCTCTGACCATACCTCCCTGGAAATAGCTTACCAGGTTATGTTACACTGGTTGTCACTCCGTGCATGCCCAGGCCACCAATGTATTGCAGAGCGGCGGTGGGTGGGTGTCAGAGGAGGACCGGAGAGAGTGCCCAGGCCTCCCCAGCACCCTGGTGTGGCAGTGCCAATGCTCCTGGCATCCCCCGGCCCAGGCGGGGATGGAAAAAATGAGCCCAGCACTCCCAAGCCCCGGCCCGGTGAGCCCTGAGCCCCAACCTACCTGTTCTTGGTCGTTGGCATCTCTGGGGAGCTCTGAGTGGAGGAGTTCTCTGACTTCGGCTCCTGTGAGGCGTGCCCGCTGTCTGGGGTCTTCTGGCCAGCCGGGGGGCTCTCCCTGCGGGGCACACGGGGGCAGCGGGGGGATTCAGCACCAGGCCTGGCATCAGGGTAGAATGAGGCCCAGGTGGTGAGAAGAGGTCATGGGCACCTCCTGCCTCATCTCCACACCCTGTACCCTCAGGGGCCAAACCCAGAGCAGTCCTTGCGGCTAACTGGCCAGGCCTGGGCAGGTACCCGGAGCACCTTCATAGGACAGGACACCCCCGAGTCCTCCTCCCATGGGAGCAGCTGTCATTGTCCCTTTTGGATCAGGAAGCTGGAGCCCAGAGATGGGCGGGAACCTGCCCAGGATCACAGCTAGAACATGCCAAAGCCAAGACGAACCCAGGATTTGCAGGATTCTGGGCTCTCGCGGCCATGAGGACTGTGCCAGCACCATTCCTGAGCCTCCGTGTGCCCACCACCCTGCTTCGCATGCACAGCGCCACCCCCCGCGCCAGCCCCATGATGTTGGTTGTGTTCTTATCCTCGTTTTTTTCAGACTGGGACAGTGAGGCTCAGAGAAGTGCAGTGACTTCCCCAAGGTCACACAGCCCCCTTGTGGTAAAGATGGGATTCACACCCAAGAACTATCCTCAGCTTCCCAGGAGCTGCCATGCTGTGAACACGGCCTGCTGCCCACCGCCGCCCACACAGATGTATTCACAGACCCCCACAGACTAGCCGAAAATCCCAGCTCTGCCCCCCACTGGCTGTGTGAGCTGGGCAAGCCCCGAGCCCGCTGACCTACAGCATCCTGGTGTGCAAGGTGGGACCACAAGGAGCCAGCAGAACTGCTGAGCAGATGAAAGCATTTTAGGCGACGAGCTGGCGTGGTGCCTGGCACACAGCAGGAACTTGAGTGTACAGCTGTCACCAGGGAGGGACAGAGGGGCAGAGGGTAGGCACTCCCTCCTGCCTGCTCTGCTTTACCGCCGAATGGGGGTCAGAGGAGACAGGCCCGTCCCGGCCGCCCCGCTCCACCCACCTTTTCTCCTGCACCTCCTGTATGTTCTCGATGCCGATGGCGCTGCTGCGGCGTGAGCCGAACGGACCTGACTTCTTCCGCGTGGGGCTCTTCCCAGGGACAATCAGTGACTGCGAGGAGAGCCCCCAACTCAGTGCCCACCTGCCCTGGGAGCCCTGGTGCCCCCCACATGCCACCCTGAGCCCTGCTGCTCCAGGCCCTGAAGCAGAGGCAACGAGCAAGAAAGAACAGGAGAAAACGTCCATCTCCAGAGAAAGCCCTCCCACTGCACAGAGAGCGCCCCCCGCCTCCCCCCCCGCGAGATCACCCTGCAGGCTG